TATTCACAATAGCAAAAAGATGGAGATAGTTGAAATGTCCATCAACAGAGGAATGGTTAAACTTTGGTACATAAAGTGGAATATTACTCAATGATTCTGCAAAACATCTCCTAACATGAATGAACCATTATGGTTCATTATGCTGAGTGAAATGAGGACATTATGCTAAGTGAAACTGTTGTTGTTAAGAGCTGTCAAGTCTGTTCTGACTCTTAGTGACCCTGAGTAGGGTTCCTGAGGTTTTAAATCTTTGAGGGAGCAGAAAAACCTCATCTTTCTCCCGTGGAGTGGCTGGCAGGCACAAATCACGGACCTTGTGATTCCTAGTCTAGTGTTAATCGTACAAAGATACCACATTCCCTGAGTAAATTCAGTCAATCACAAAAGTACAGATATTGTATGTGACCACTGCTATCAAAAATTAAGGAAAGGTTTTCTTGCTAAAAGAAATATTCTAAGATGTTTAGATGGTTACCAGGGGTACTGAATAGACACGTTAACTTGGGTGATGGGGAAAGCAATACACAGCAAGAGGGAGGTTGATACAGGAAAGAAGAAGGTAATGGAAGACACAGAATGGAGTGCAAGGGTTAAAGTGACTAGAGGTAAATATTGTTAACTGATGGTACATGGAAGGGATTGCAGTCATTGTAATGACATGAAGTGTATGATTTGTTGAATGTGGCACTGATGATCTATTCTATAAACCATCACTCAATTCACAATAAAATGTTAAAAACAAAAAAGTGATCAAGACAGATATTTTTTACTGTTGTTGTTGTTAAGTGCCATTGAGTTGGTTCCAACCCATAGCAATCCTGTTTAGGGTTTCCGTGGAGTGGCAGGTGAGTTTGAACCACTGACCTTGTGGTTCAAGCAGTCCAGCACATTTAACCCACAGCACCACACCAGATAAAGAAGACATTAGGTAATATTTTTGGTTTAAGGTTTAAATGTTACATGATGGCATTAGTCTTAGGAACCCGTCCAACCTCCATGGGTTCCAGAAAGTCTGGATTCCATGAGAATTTGAAATTCTATTCCAATTAATTTATACAAAAATTCATTATACTCTATTTAACCTTTTTTTTTTTTCATTCTTTATTTTGAAGGGAATGTCTCTGCAATACCAAAATGTACTGTTTGCTAACGTGGATGTGGACGAGTCTTCGGTAAGAATCTTAAAACCTTTAGCATTGATTCTTAAAACTCAACTGCAAGGAAGTTAAATAGCACTGTATTGGTGACTGGGATTTGTAGGTGGCACTGCAGGATAAGCACTGGACTGTGAACCGCAAAGTGGGCAATTCAACCCCACCAATTACTCCACAAACAAAATGAGGCTTTCTGCTCCCATAAAGATTTACAGCCTCAGAAACCCTATACAGGTGGCTATGAGCCGGAATCAACTTGGTGGCAGTGGGTTTGGGCATTTGGTAAATAAATTATTTGAACATTAAGAAGAATGTCACAATTTATTCTGATGATTTTAACAGACCCTCAAAATATTTTTGTATGTTTTGTATTACAAAAAAAATGTTAGCAAATATTCACTTATGACTCTCCTGCTGCTAACTTCCCCTTCCACGCAGAGGCAGACTTCACAATCACTTCCCAGATCCTTCACTGCCTGGCCAGGACCCCACCTACCATCATTCTCAGCAAAGTTGCTCTAAGCGGCCAGAATCATAAGACTTAAAGTTGAGTTCCAAGTGAAAAATGCTTGTCACTCCCTGCAATAGGTTTAGATCAGTTTCTAAAAAATAACTCAATGTACTACAGAGCATATACCTCATTTTTCACTTATTATACATTATGCTTTTGTGGGATTTGTGAAACATCACAAGGAATTCCATGAAATTCCTGCCTCCTGTCCTTAGAGCCATCCCCTGTCCACCATCACAAACAGAAAAAACTCAGCCTCATTTCATCGGTGCAAATGGTCTCATTAATATATACAACATCGCTACAAAACTATTCTAGTGTGTTCATTTATCATGAGAAAAGGTAACAATACCAGTGTTCTATTTATATATGTCCTGGTGTGATGCTATGGGTTAATGCTCTGGACTGCAAGGTTGGTTTGCTTACCAACTGCTCCTCAGAAACCCTATACAGGGTCACTATGGTTCAGAACCGGTTCGATGGCACTTGACAACAACAACAACAGCATTCATATATGAGTATTAGGAGATCTGGTGGCACTAGGCAGAGTTGGCACAAGGCTCTTCCCAGGAGAAAGATGTTGCAGTCTGTTCCTATTAAGATTTACAACTTTGGAAACCATGGGGGCAGTTCGATTATGTCTGATACGGTCACTGTGACTCAGAAATGACAGGGCTGCAATAGGTTTGGTTTTGGGTATTCATATATTATATTTCATTTTAGCTTTAGAATGAAGAAAAACCTGTTATTCTCCCAGCTCTGTACTTAAGTAGGTTTTGGATCTATAACCATATAAACCTCAGTAAACTTCAGAATAATAATATATAATAAAAGATAAAATGAAACAAAGTACATAAAATACATGGCTTAGTGACCCAGAACATAACAGAAGTTCTGTTTCCTTCAGCTTTCTTAAAGTATGAGAGTGTTTGATTGCCCTTTAAACTAATTCATGTACTATGCATTCAGAATACATGTTTAGAATCATTCTCTCTCTTTTTTTGAAATAACTTAATTAAGATAAAATTCCCATACCATAAAATTGACTCATATGAAGTGTGCAATTCAATGGTTTTTAGTATATTCATAGAGTTGTACAACTATCACCTCAATCAATTTAGAGCTTATTCATCTTCTCAAAAAGAAACCTTGTACCCTTTATTATGTCAGTAATTCCCTCCACCACCTCCTCCACCCCACTCACAGTCCTCAGCAACCATGTAGCTGTTGTTAGGTATCTTCAAGAAGGCTCGGACTCAGAGCAAATCATGCACAAAAGAAGGAAATACTGCCAGGTCCTACACCATCCTCACAATTGTTGATATGGTTGAGCCCATTGCTGCTGCCACTGTTTCAATTCAGATCATTGGGGGTCTTCCTTTTTCACACATGGTGTCCTTCTCCAGGGACTGGTCCCTCCTGATAACATGTCTGAAGTGTGAGAGACTAAGTCTCCCCATTCAGGCTTCTAAGGAGCATTCTAGTTGTACTTCTTCTAAGACAGATTTGTTTGTTCTTCTGGCAGTCTATGATGTTTTACTATTCTCCAACACCATAATTCAAATGCATCTATTTTTCTGCCATCTTCGTTATTCACTGTGCAACTTTCAAATGCATTTGAGGTGATTGAAAATACCATGGCTTGGGTCAGTCACACCTTAGTCCTCAAACTGATATCTTTGCTTTTGAACACTTTAAAGAGGTCTTGTGCAACCGATTTGTCTAATGCAAAATGTCGTTTGATTTCTTGACTGCTACTTCCATGAGTGTTGATTGTAGATCCAAGCAAAACGAAGTATTTTACAACTTCAATCTGCTCTCCATTTATCATGATGTTATTTATTAGTCGAGTTGTAAGGATTTTTGTTTTCTTTACATGAGGTGCAATCCATTGTAAAGCCTATAACCTCTAATCTTCATCGGTATATATTTCAAGTTCTCTTCACTTCCAGCAAGCAAGGTTGTGTCATCTGCATATTGCAGGTTGCTAATGAATCTTCCTCCAACCCTGATGCCACATTCTTCTATAATCCATCTTCTCAGATTATTTGCTCAGCAAACAGCTTGAATAAGTATGGTGAAAGGATACAATCCTGGTACATAGCTTTCTTGATTTTAAACAACTCATTATCCCTTGTTTTGTTCAAACAACTGCCTCTAGGGCTATGTATGGGTTCCTCATGAGCACAAGGAAGTTTTCTGGAATTCCCATTCTTTGCATGTTATTCATGTGTTTGTCATGAGCTACACAGTTGAGAGCCTGTTTTGGCTAATGAAATTAAGCTCATCCACAATTGTATCAATTTGATTGCAAAATTCTATCACTGGATCTCCAGCAACTTTTCAATCACTAAGGCTAAATTTTCCAGCTACTATTCTTTCCACTCTGTTGCCAACCTTCACATTCCAATTACTTGTAATTATCAATGCATCTCGATTGCATGTTTATCAATTTCACACGTAAAAAGTTGGTAGAAGTCTTCAATGTCATTATCACTGTCTCCATAGATGTGCCTATTCTGAATATTTCATTTAAATGAAATCATACTATAGGTGGTCTTTGTGACTGGTTAATTTCATTTAGCATAATATTTTCAAATTTCCTTTTGTAGCATGTATCAGAATTCATTTATTTTTATTGCTGAATAATAGTCCATCATATGGATATACTGCATTTGGTTTAACCATTCATCAGTTGATGAACATTTAAGTTTTGTTTGTTTGTTTGTTTTTCACTCTTTTGTTATTATGAATAATGCTGCTATAAGCATTTGATCCAGGCTTTTCTTTAGGCACATGCTGCTATAAGCATTTGATCCAGGCTTTTCTTTAGGCATATGCTGCTATAAGCATTTGATCCAGGCCTTTCTTTAGGCATATGTTTTTATTTCACTTGGGTCTGTACCCAAGCAGAATGGTTCAGTTATATAACTCAGTGTTTAACATTTTGAGAAACTGACACCTGTTTTCCAAAGTGCCTACCCTATTTTGTATTTCTACCAGCATTGTATGAGGGTTAAAATTTCCCCACATCTTCACCAATGTTTGTTATTATCTTTTTTATTCTAGCTCTTTCTCATTTAAGGTGAAACAAAAGCATAACTTTCTTTCCTGATATTTACTTATTAGTTGTTGTCTTTGCTGTGGCAATGACAATGATCAATACGTGTGTGTTTTGTGGTAGTGGGAAGGGCTATGTTGCCAATAAAATGATAGAGATACTGTAGAGTATGAAACCTGAGGGCTTTTACCTTGGAACAACTTCAATCCAGCAGAGCGTAAGTCAATCTTGTGTTGAGGTTTTAAGTGTTCAGATGCCAATTTTTCTTAAGCACCTCATGCACCTCTGGTAGTTGAACTACCAGTTAGAAGCATTATATTTAAAAGCAGGTTTTGTGGCCACTTCCCCAGTCAGTCCTCACAGAAACATTCCTGGACACATCCTTAATGGTCACCTAATTGTGATTGCACACCCCGATAGCATCAGAGACTGTAAGCTTTCTTATCTACAGCAGTTCCCTTCTGCTTTTGTAGGCCCGGGAGTGGTTATGTAACATATAGCTGCTGCTGTCAGACATGGTTATGGGAGGTGATTCCTTTGTTCTCTGAGCTCTATAAAAGGTCACCATGTGGAAACAGAAGTTTGAAAAACTCATCATGATGTCTATGATTTCCCTCACCTACGTGATCTTTGCTTGTCTTGTGTTTACTCATGTTTAAGACTTAATAAAGAGCCTGTATAATATTTATTGTCAGATTCTAAATGACTAATACCAGTCCATTTCAGCTCACTAATGCCTAGAATATCCATGTTTATGCATTCCATTTCATTTTTGAAAATTTGTACATTCTATGTTCTGATTATTAATGGATGTTTACTGCTGTTTCTCTTCATTTTGAGTTGTGCCCCATCAACAAATGAAGGTCCTGAGGGCTTAACTCCATTCACATCATCATGGTCAACTCTACTTTGAGGAGGCAGCTCTTCCCCAGTCGCATTTTGAGTGCCTTCCAACCTGAGGGGCTCATTTTCCGGCATTATATCTGATACTGTTTCTCTACTATTCATAAGGTTTTCAGTGACTAAATATTCGGAAATAGTTCATCTCTCCTTCTTCCTACTCTGTCTTTGTCTGGAAGCTTATCTGAAGCCTGTCCACCATGGATGACCCTGCTGGTATTTAAAATACTGGTGGCATAGCTTTCAGAATCATAGCAACTCACAAGCCACCACAGTATGACAAACTGACAGACAATGGTATTGCATTAGGCAAATCTGCTGCACAGGAACTTTTTAAAGTGTTGAAGAGCAAAGATGTCAGCTTAAGGACTAAGGTGCACCTGACCCAAGCCATGGTATTTTCAATAATCTCATATGCATGTGAAAGTTGAACAGTAGAAAGTTGGACAGATCATAGAAGAATTGATGCATTTGAGTTATACTGTTGGAGGAGAATATTGAAAGTGCCACAGTCTGCCAAAAGAACCAACAGATCTGTGTTGGAAGAAGGGCAGCCAGAGTGCTCCTTGGAGGCCAGAATAGCCAAACTTTGTCTCTCATACTTCAGACACATTGTCAGGAGGGATCAGTCACAGGAGAAGAATATCTATCATGTTTGGTAAAGTGGAGGGTCAGAGAAAAAGAGGAAGACACCCAACAAGTTGCACTGGCAAAGTGGCAACATCAATGGGCTTAAGCGTGGCAACAATTGTGAGGTTGACCCAGAACCAGGCGGTTTTTCGTTCTGTTGTGCACAGTCACTACGAGTCAGTACTGACTTTATGGCACCTAACAACAACAAACAACAACATAATATTTATATCTTTGAAATAAGGTTTATTTTCTCCCTTATATCAGATATACTGTTGTTAAGTGCCATGGAGCCAGTTCTGACTCATAGCAACACTGTATAGGGTTTCCAAGGAGCAGCTAGTGAATTTGAACTGGCGACCTTGCAGTTCAAACTAACCTTGTAGTCCAGCGCATTAAGCTGTGATGCCACATCAGGACTCCAGTATCAGGTATATTAGAGAAGTTCAATTTTGTTGATTTTGAGAGTAGTTCATGTTCTTTTGACTCCTGCATATGATAAAAATAGGCCCTTGGAATCAAATTGGAATGGATTTTTCAAATTGAGATTTGAGATGAGTCTCTTATCTATTGTTGTTGTCATTGTTATTGTGCCGTGGAGTCAGTTTCAACTCATAGCCACCCTCTACAGGGTTTCCGAGACTGTAGATCTTTACAGGAGCCAAAAGCCTCATCTTTCTTCTGTGGAACAGCTGGTAGTTTCGAACTGCTGGTCCTTGGGTTAGCAGCCCTATTCATAACCCCTACGCTACCAGAGCTCTATGATCTAATACTACCTCAGTACCAACTATTTCACAAAGATAGCCAAAGTAGTAGGGTTTTCAAAGAAAGTCACGTGTAAATCTGGAGCGTGGTGGCTCTAAAGGATAATCACTGGACTGTAAACTACAAGACCAGCGGTTTAAATTCTTCAACTGTGGAGCTTTCTGCTTCTACCAAGATTTGTTGTTGTTAAGTGTCATCGAGTCGGTTCTGATTCATAGCGACCCTGTATAGGAGTGGCTAGTGAGCTTGAACCGCAGACCTTATGGTTCAAACTGACATTGTAGTCCAGCGCTACACCCAGCCTTGGAAATCCTACACAGGATAGCTATGAGTTAGAAATGGCTCAACGGTATTTAACAACAACAGCAACCAAAAATGTAAGCCTGAATGAAAACGCTAGACCCCGTATGTCAAGTATGAGTTATAATAAAGGTATTTTCACTCTTCCTTACTTTTGATAGCATGCTTCCTTCATACTGTGTCCCCCTGGGGCATTTCTATAAGATTTCAAACATCTTTTTGATAGAGTTCGTTCAATCTTTCGGTGTCCTTCCTGTCTCTGCTTCCATCCTTCCACCCCTTTCTTTGAGCCCTGGAACTGAAGTGATTGGGAACAATCATCTCCCACAGCAACATACTTGGAGACTGTGAGAGTGTGTTAGAAAAGCTTTTGACAGAAGAATCCATAAAGTATCAGGTCTTCCTGGACCTTCAACATTCTACCTGAGAAGTAACCAAGCAACATACTTGGTACAGAGCAAGGTCATATAAAAGTATGACTTTATGACAATTCTTTTTTTTCCCTAGGAGTTGGCCCAAACATGTGGCATCAAGATAATACCCACATTTCAGATGTTCAAGCAAGCCCAGAAGGTATGTTTCTATGGTACCTGGCAGGGTAAAATTAAATTATAGGACCAGCAGAATCTAAAAAAAAATGACTGGAGTGTTCGGAGTGGATAAAAGAATTGCATTTATTTTAAACATTTAGCAATGTTTCTGAACTTTATGCACTGACAAGTAGTTTAAAAAAATAAATAAAGCATAAAATGGATATCGTTAAAGGCTTTCTGTTCCTGTAAAGATTTATAGTCTTGGAAACCCTATACAGGGTCACTAGGAGTTGGAACTGACTCCACGGTACAGAACCACCATCAAATGAATAATGGTGATGGTTGAACAAGATGATGAATGGAATCATCACTGAATTTTACGTGTGTAAAAGGTTGAGATGGCGAATGTTTTGTTCCATATGCACTTAGCACAATAAAAATTTCATGAATTATGACTCTCCCCACTCAGGCCATCTGAGGTATCCAAATCCTTAACCATCACCACCTTCTTCTCTCTATTGTGAAGCAGAACTATCAAGAAAGAATCTTATAGAAAACAGCATCATGAAATTCGCACTTGATTGTATGTTGTTGTATGTCATCGAGTCCACTCTGACTCATAGCAACGCGGTATAGGGTGTCTGAGGCTATAAATCTTTATGGGAGCAGAAAGCCTCACCTTTCTCTCATGAAGCAGCTGGTGGATTCGAAGGGTCAGTAGTCCAATGCATAACCACTATGCCACCAAGGCTCCTACTTGAAGGTATTTGTTGTTGTTAAGTGCCACCGTGTCTGTTCTGATTCTACATACGGTTTCTGAGGAGCTGTTGGTGTGTTTGAACCACCAGCCTTGTGGTTCAAACTGATCTTGAGGTCCAGTGCTTATCGTACAGTGCCACACCAGATCTCCACCAGGACTCCACTTAAATGTATGGTTGTTGTTAAGTGCAGTCGAGTTGGTTCTAACCTATAGCAACCCTGTATAGGGTTTCTGAGAAGCAGGTGGTGAGCTTGAACTGCCGACCTTGTGGATCAAACTTTACAGTCCAGTACATTAACCCACAGCACCACACCAGGACTCCACTTGAATATGTATATGTTGTTAATTTGTTGTGTGTTGTTAAGTGCTGCAGAGTCTATTCCAGCTGATTGCTGTTAAGTGCCATCCAGTTGCATCTGATTCATAGGAACCCCGTATAGGATTTGGGAGGAGCCACTGGTGGGTTTGAACCACCACCTTGTGGTTTGCAGTCCAGTGTTGTTCCTACAGTACCACGACCCTGTGCAGGGTTTTCAAGGTTTTTAAATATTTTGGAAGCAGAAAGCCTCATTTTTCTCTCCCAGAGCCGCTGGTGGGCTCTAACCACTGACTGCATGGTTCACAGTCCAGTGCTTATCGTATACTTAGGAAACTATTCATCCAAATCAATCTCAAGAAAAAGTGGTAACAGATATGGGCAGTGATTTCAAAACTGGATAAACATACTGTTACTCAACTGTACATGTGAAGACTGTTGAAATAGAAAACATTTTGTTACATATATATTTACCACAATAAACACATTAATATGATGTTCTCTGTCAATGTATAATTCAATAATCTGGTCAATCAGCCTGCTAACTTCAAGGTCAACAGTCTCAAACTGCCAGCTGTTCAGCAGAAGAAACATGAGGATTTCTACTCCCATAAACATTTACAACCTCAGAAACCCTATGCAGGGTTGCTATGAGTCGGAACCGACTTCACAGCACACCACCACAGGATAGAGTAGAACTGCTTCAGATGGTCTCCAACACCGTAGATCTTTATAGGAACAGATCATCAGGTCTTTTCTCTCAGAGCCAATGTGGATGTGAACTGAGAAACATTTTGATTAGCAGCCAAGTGCTTAACGACTGACCCACATAGTTTCTACCCCTGAAATAAGGTGAGGCCTTCACCTCTCTTTTAGGAAGCCTGGTGGCATTGGGCTGCTAACTGTAAGGACTGCTGTTCGAATCCATCAGACACTCAAGGTGAGAAAGATGAGGCTGTCTGCACTCGCAAAGATGTGCAGTCTCAGAAACCCTCCATAGGGTCTCAGAAACCCTCCATAGGGTCTCAGGAACCCTCTATAGGGTCACTATGAGTTGGAATTGACTCAATGGCAATGGCTTATGGTTTGTTAAATCTCTTTTAGAGTCAATTTTCTATTTCATAATCCACTTAATGCAAATGTATACAAATCCACTATAATATTTGATATGGCAGTCATAAGAGTGAAACATAAGTGATCAGCACAGATTAGAACTAATTATGATTTTACAGACATGCAACTACAAAGAATTGTGACTTAAGATAAACGCATGTACTCTAAAGTTTAATCAGATATGTACATTGATTTACCACACACCAAAAAAAAAACCTTTATTACAATGCAGTATAGATGAGTGGTTGAATACGCAGGCTCTAGATTCAGATTTGCAAGGTTTTACCACTTCCTGGTATGGCTACTTTGGGTTAATGCGCAGAACAATAAGGTCAGTTTCAATCACAGAGTCAGCAGTGCAGGCTCACCAGCCACTCCTCAGAAATCCTATACAGGGTCGGTATGAGTAGAACCGACTCAAGACTCAAAGGCACTTAACAACGATAACAATAACCAGCAGTGAACAATTACTTCACCTCTGTTACCTTCGTTTCAGGAATCATAATAACCATTTCCTCATACGGATGCTGTGAGAACGAAATGAATTAACACATAGAAAGTGCTTAGACCCATCTTGATATACATTCACAGTCAGTGTATTGTGTTCATTGCTATTTTGAAGGCATTGATGGAATAATATGTTTAAAATACTGTGCATTATGAAACTAGTACTTCGATATAGTGTCTAAAACACTGATAATTGTGCATAACTTATGAAAGGGGATTTTGCAACATATTTAGGAGGTATAAAGTCTTCATTCCCTTTCACACAATTCTCTCATTTCTGGAATTTTACATACAGAAATATTTCAATGAAAATTAAACAGTTGTATGCATAATAGTTTTAACATACTTTTTAATAAAATGGAAACAACCTAAATGTCTTTTATTAGAAGTGTGAAGTGAATTTTCAACAACTCTATGAAATAGTATGCAATTTAAAAATGTTATGAATTCTGCATGTACAAGCTTGAATTGGTGCAGGTTTTTGCTGTGTATATTCACAACAACAAAAATGAAATAAATGGATTATTTTTAACAAAGTGTTATGAGAACTATATGCACAGTACAAAATGCATGTCTAAACTTTGTAAAGATTTTATGTGGAATATGAAGAATGAGAGCATTTGATATGCTGGCAGTAGAATTTTATTTTAAGTTATTTACTATAATATAATTAGCAAAATATATTGAAATTATTTTTAAAAACTAAATGACACTCTATATTCCCTCCCCTGAGTTTTTACTTGAAAATCAAAGTTACTTAGCATAGGTTTCCTCAAAATTCCCTATCTATGTATTAAATTATATATAATCCCTTTATCTTCCCTTTCTCATTTCAAGAAATGAGAATGGATCCTCTCTTACAAATTAGTTCCAACTCTTATATATTGATTTCATTTCCTTCCTCTGTTCTAGGTTTCCATCCATTATAGTTATCCTCTTTTAAACCTGGCATTTGGGGAATTGTTATTTTGCAACCCAGCATCTGTTCTCCATTCTCTATTAACAATACCTGGTTTTCCTCCAGGAAACCATGCCCCGTCGCATTTTCATCCATATGCTTCCTTGGGGCTCCATCTCCAAGTCTAGACCAATCAGGGTACTCAGTCCTCATTAGGAATGGACCCTAGTCTCTAGTCAAGCCAATCCAAGCCCAACCAGAGTGAATTCCAAGGTATACTTTAGCAACTACGTAAATGCTTTTTATCTTAATATATTTGAACTTGGGAAGATATAAAGTTGAAGTTACCAAAGTTACCTTGCCACCATTTGTTATTGTAGTTGTTAGGTGCCATCAAGTCAGTTCCAACTCAGCAACACTATACACCATCCTCACAATTGTTGTTATACTTGAGCCCATTGTTGCTGCCACTATGCCAACTCATCTCTTTGGGGGTATTCCTCTTTTTTACTAACTTTCCACATTGCCAAGCATGATGTCCTCCACAGACTGATAACGTGTCTGAAGTATGAGAGACAAGTTTTGTCATTCTGACTTCTAAAGAGCATTCTTACTGTATTTCTTCCAAGACAGATTTGTTTGTTCTTCTGGTGGTCTACAGTACTTTTAATATTTTCTCCAACATCATAATTCAAATACATCAATTCTTCTTGGTTCTTCCTTTTTAATTGTCCAACTTTCACAGGCATATGAGGCAATTGAAAATCTCATTGCTTGAATCAGGGGCATCTTAGTCCTCAAACTGATGTTTTTGATCTTCATAAAGAGGTCTTGTAAAGCAGATATGCCTATTGCAATATGTTTGATGTCTTGACTGCTGCTTCCATGAGTGTTGATGGTGGATCCGAGCAAAATGAAGTCTTTGACAGCTTCAATCTTTTCTCCATTTAAAATGATGCAATTTATTAGTTCCATTGTGAGGATTTTGTTTTACATTGAGGCGCAACCCATACTGAAGAGTGTGGTCTTTGATCTTCATCAGTATTTTAAGGCATCTTTGCTTTCAACAAGCAAGGTTGTATCATCTGCATATCACAGGTTGTTAATGTATATTCCTCTATTCCTGATGACACATTCTTCATATAATCCAGTTTCTCAGATTATTTGTATATCCTGCAGATTGAGTAAGTATAGTGAAACCCTGGCACACACCTTTCCTGATTCTAAACCATTCAGTACCCCCTCATTCTGTTCTAAAAATTGCTTCTTGGTTTATGTACAGGTTCTTCATCAGCATAATGAAGTGTTCTGAAATATCCATTGTTTGCAATGCTAACCATAGATTTTTATGATCCACAAAGTCAATCCACACATGATTCGCAGAGTCAATAAAGCACAAGTAAACGTCTTTCTGATGTTCTTTTTTTTCCAGCTAAGATCCATCTG